GATGATGTTACCTTTACGTAGGTTTAATGTGATACAACCGTAATACATGTAGTACATAATTGCCTTACTTGCATACAAAATTGTTCTTATATCTTTACTCGTGAATTTGATCAATAGTTAAATGCTCCTGAAAACGCTTATGTTATAATTGATTTATTGATTGAACGATTGTTTAAGGCTTTTATCTATAAGAATAAAAACATTAATTTAATTGATTTTTGTCCTTTCAAAACTCGTGAAAGTCTTAATTACTAACATTAACATCTGATCCTATAAATTCTCGCATCAAATTCTAAAAACTGATTCCAACAACGATATCGGCACAAGTATTAAACATCATCTCTCCCAAAACTTTCCATTACAGATTATCTGTAACAACTGCAATGTAGCGGTAGTTAGTAAAACAATCAGTACAAACTAACTTTCTATATGAATACCCACGTTCGTATAAAAAAGGCGGTTTAAATTACATAGCATTACTATAATTATCAATTTCTGACGACGTGAGTATTTTACCTGATAAAATACATATATACGAATTTACATTCATTAGCTAATAAATCATTATCTCAAGCTGTAACTCTTAAACTGTGGCTTTGCTCTTGTGACGGTCCAATAATAAAAAGTCAAACTGACCTAAATCTTGGTTTGCTACATGTCTGTATTAATAGCTGATATATGTTTTGGTAAAAAAAACCAAAGATAAAACAAACGCATCAAAAATAAGTAAATTACATGAACTATTAACAATAATGATATTGTTAATCTTTAATGTTCATGTATCGGTATAATAAAAAACGTTACATATATTCTTCAAATGTTTGTTCGTAAAATGATTCTTGATGTTAGAAATTTTTGAGGATAATTAATTTAATTAAAATAATCTTGTTGACATGAGTTTTATTATCTTTGCGTATTACAACTGATGAAGTGACAAACTTAATGTGGTCATATGTCAACAATGTAAGATCATTTAGAAAAATAGCCAGACTGGAAAAAATAGAGGAATGCGGTTTGGAAATATGGATTATTTTACTAAGTAAAATAGTTTCACGTTGTGCTACATGTACTGTATATCCTCTTTAATTTGTATCCGGGTATATATTGTATTATACCTCTCATGCGTTAAAAGAAGCTTTTTATTTACATGAGTATATATTTGGCATTGATATCATTATTTTTATTAAACTTCTATTTGATTGTTTCTGGAATTTTACAGACACAGAGGTCAAGCTGGTTATGGAAATGGACAGCGACAGCGCGTAGATGAAATTCGACATCATTATTTTCTTTAATATCGATATATGATTGTAATTTTTTCATGCTTCTTTAATCGATTAATTTTTACACATTCTACACCCAGGGATTGTACAGATAATACCGATACATGTACATGTGCTAAAATTTTAATATATACATGTAATGCACATGTACATGTAGTTTTTTAACCAATGATAAAATATTTCCAATAAATTAAAACACTAGTATTACGACATTTAAACTGAATTTAATAATTCGTTTATTGCGTCCGTTTGCGAATTGTTTTCAAAAATATAAAGTTCAAAATGTTTTTTGAGTTTACCGTTACATATTCTTAGTATACATGTAATCAGGAACTAAAAGTTATAGTAATAAAATGCTTTCTTTATTCAAATGTGGGTATTCATACAGAAGTTAATTCGTATTGATTGTTTACTAATACCGCTACATTTAATGTAAAATTTAGGGAGAGATTAAAATTAATGTAGCATGTTATGGCTTGCTATGTCTAATGCTTGTGTCGATATCGTTTTTTGGTGTCGGTTTTTAGGATTTGATGCGAGGAATTAGAGGATCAGATTTTAGGACAATAATCAATTGAAATAATGTTTCTTATAGATAAAAGTCTTAAACTCAAACAATCGTTCAATCAATAAATCAATTATAACATACGCCAATTTTGGATGATCTGCAAATATTAGATTTTGGTCGAAAAGCACAACAGATTTTCTCAAGAAATGCATTCATAATATCAAATAAAATTTATACCACCGAAATCTACTGATTATGAGCTTTTAAACTGTAGCATTAATACTGCATAGGATTTCCTTTATTTTGAATTACAGCCTTGACTCGTCGGGGCATGCTTTTTACTAAATTTTCCAAAACATTTTCTTCTATTTTTACCCACTCTTCCTCCAAAACTGCAATTAGTTCTCTTCTATTTTTTGGCTGAGGTTTGTGTGCTTGTACCTTTCTTCCAAGATGATCCCACAGATGCTTAATTGGATTGAGATCTGGGCTCTGAGCAGGCCATGAAAGAGAAGATATCAAATTCTCCTCTTTCCAAGTACAGGAGCATTATCATCTTGGAAGACAAACACGTTATCATCACAAAGATCATCAAGAAAAGGTATTAGATGATCTTCTAAAAGTTGTCAATACGCTTCGCCCGTAATCCTTCCTTCTACTATTATCAATGGACCAAGCTTATTCTTAACAAAACAACCCCAAACCATAACGCCTTCAGTATTGCTTTTTACAGTAGGAACCAGGCAGTCTATATCATATTTCTCGTGAGGTTGACGCCAAACCCATCTCCGACTATCGCTTTCAAACAAAAGAAATCTAGATTCGTCACTCCAAATAACTGTATTCCATTCTTCATTCCAGTGCACGTGTTTCTGACTCCACTTCAAGTGCTTTTCCTGTTATCTTCTGAAACAAAAGGCTTTCTCGTTCCAACACAGCCAAAATAGTCATGCTTGTGTAGCACACGTCTCACTGTACTAGTACTAATTGGGGTTAGGCCGAGATCGTTAAATTTTGCTGTAAGCTGTTGAAGCGATTCCTGTCTGTCTCTCCTGACTGTACGTATAAGAGCACGCTCTTCACGTTCAGTTAAAAGAGGTGGTCTTCCTGATCGAGGAGTTGGTTCTGTGAGACTTTCTTCACAATATCTTTTAATGACATCTCGACAAGTCTCTCTAGGTATTCGAGTATTCGAGAAATGTCAGATGCGCCATGCTAGCCCTTGTGAAGTCCGATAATCATTCCACGCTCGAAAATAGTCAACTCGCGACGCTGTGTCATTTTTCGTAAAAACTATATGGCAAAGCTGGAACGGTGATTTAATAAATTTGAATTTCACAGTTCTCACCTACTCGGGGAAAAAAAGCAATTGAAATTTTGTCGGATCTGCGCCGAGATATCCTAATTTAAAAACGGAATACTAGGCAAAATTTTATTCGCTGATCACGACCTGGCGGACACTTTTGGTGGGGCAGTGTATATCAAATTCACGTTAAGAGGGTAAAGATAATTGCATAAGAGCAATTTTGCATGCAAATAAGGCAGTTATGTACTACATGTACGGATTGTAACACATTAAATGCTACGTAAAAGTAACATCATCGTTTGTTAAATTTGTTAAAAATGTCTATTTGTGTCATTGTTGGAATTGGTGAGTAAAAATTTTATAGTTGTAGAAGGAAGGATATTG